TTTGGTCAGGCTAGACAAAGCCCTGGCTGGGTTGATTTAGTTGGGGATTGGTCCTGCTTTGAGCAGGGGGTTGGACTAGATGACCTCCTTCTAACCCTGATATTCTATGATTTGGCTCCAATAGATGTATTTTTCCCCTCTAATACATATAGTTTTCTAGAAAACTCAATAGTATCGAAGAAACAGTTCTAAACAGACAGGAACACAGTGATTTACACACACACACACTTTCAAAATGTAGGTACTACATTCCTTAACAATGCAATACATTTCAGCCTCTACCCACGAAGGGGCCACTCTTGCAAGACTTCACCTACAGTTCCCCCCCACCTCCCTCCATAGTAACTTGCCCCAGGCTTCAGTGTATGCATCCTCTCAGGTACTTCGATACACTCCATAAAGTTCTAAAGATTGTTAGGGAACATATTTTGACACCCATGTACATTTGTCAGTAGTCGGGTCCCAAAAAGAAGTAGGAATGCAAGACATAGTGCAGAAACCCTTCTCGTAATGTAACCTCTCCTGTCATTTGGGTAAGCGTCAGTCCTTAGTTTTGCATGCTGCTAATATTACTTTTCCGTGAAAGCAACTGTTGTAGCAACCACATGGATTTTTGGCAGAATTAATAGAAAAGCAGGTGATTGCATGATTGTGAATGGAGAGGGAAGGTGTCCCACAAGATACTGGATAAAATTGTCAAAAGAACCTAAATGACTCAGGCCATGTCTTTACTACAAACTTCAAGTTGATTCAACTTATTTAAGCATAAAGCCACAGCAGTAAGTATATCGCTTGTGCATACTTGGCTGCTTGCATCAGTGTTGCATGTACTCACCAGGAGTGCTTGTTTTAATGCACAGTATGGTGACTCTGCAGATAGGTATCCCAGTGTGGTATTTGCTACTGGCAGGATTGCTGCCTTTTGGGAAATTTTCAAAATGCATTGTGGAGTAAAAAAAAGTCACACACAGGTGACAGGGAGCAAAGGGGTCAAGTTCATAACATGTAACTTTCTCCCTCCCATAATGCTATTCATATCCCATAATTTTCATGCCTTTAAAAAAATAAATAAATAAAAATCCACAAACCCAGGTGGGCACAACCCTTTTCACAACCTACAGTCTCTTAGAGTTCTGCAGTACTCTCACAACTGTTGCAAACACCGGACAAACAATCCTCCAATATCTGCAGAGCTGCAGGATAGATTGCTGAGGGACACAGTGAAAAAACAATTTGAGGTAGCTGGTAGCATTCACAGAGCAGTTGCAGACAGTCAAGGAACACTCCTGAGCTTGAGAAATGAGCACTGAGTGGTGGTATTGGACAGTAATTCAATCGACGAGCAGTGGCTGCTTTGAAACGAGCAGCAGCGGCTGCAGAATTTCTCGATGCAAATGGACACATTCCTGGATCTGCGTGCTGACCTAGCCCCAGCTCACCAGCACAGAGACACCATAATGAAAGCTACATTGATAGCAAAGGAGTGAGTGACGATCACACCATGGAAGCTTGCCACACTGCATTGCTACCAGTCAGTGGAAATCATTTTGAGGTTGGAAAATTTAGTGAGGGCCATTGTCATGCAAGTGTGCAGGGCCACTAATAATCTCCTGCTACACAGGGACTGTGAATCTTGGCAATGTGCAGGACATAGTGAATGGATTTGCAGAAAGAGGATTCCTGAACTGTGGTAAAGCTATAGATTGCACACACATCCCTATTTTGGCACCAGCCACCTTGCCACAGAGTATATCAATAGAAAGAGCCATTTTCTATGGTTATGTAAGTGTTGATGGATTACCAGGGATGCTTCACTGACATCAGTGTGGGCTAGTCAGATAAGGTGCACTGCTCACATCTTTAAGAACACAAGATTGGTCACACAGCTGCAAGCAGAGACATTCTTCCCAACCAGCAGATTACCACTGGTGATGTTGGAATGCCACTAATGATCTTGGGGAACCTTGCCTACCCCTTGTTCCCTGTGTATGAAGACATACACTAGCCACCTTTGCGTTATGCTGTTAAGATTCAACTGCTGGCTCAGCAGGCACAGAATGACAGTTGAATATGCTTTTGGTAGATGGCATGGATGTTAGCATTGTTTGCTTACAGGTCCCGATTCAGCGGGAAAAAATATTCCAAAGATTATAGCTGCCTGCTCGTCCTTTAGAATATCTGTGAGGCAAAGGAGAAGTTGCCACCAGGATGGAGGATAGAGGTGTAGCAGCTGACTTTGACTTGTAGGAGCAAAACAATGAAAAGTGTATACCTTTGTCCTGCTAATTTGGGGTTGGGCCTGGTTCTATCTTTACATTTAAACACTGTAAGGAAAAATGCATTCACACACTCACTCAAGGCTCTTTCCCCTTCACTGGGCTCTGCGCTCGGCTGGTGGGACTCACTAGATTGTGGTGGAGTCTCAAAAACAGGTCCTGGCTGGTGGCATAGCTGGACCTCCATGGTGTGTGTCCCCCCCACCCCTCCTTCTTGCTGTTCACAGCGGGGTTCTGTGTCTCAAGCTCCTCAGAGGTATCTAGAGTGGTCTGACGAGTGCTAATGGAGTATCCGCCAAGTATGGCATGCAGCTTGGTGAAAAAAGTAAGTCTGCAGCTTAGCACCAGACTGATTGTTGGCCTCCCTGGCCTTATTGTATGCATGCTGAAGTTCCTTCGCTTTTACATGGCACTGCTGCTGATCCCTATCGTATCCCTTTGCCTGCATTCTCTGTGCAATCTTTTCATAGATGTCCACATTTCCATGGCTAATCCATAGCTGTGCCCACACACTCTCTTCTCGCCACAGGCCCAGGAGATCCAGTGCCTCCAATCTACTCCACACAGAAGCACATCTAGTGCATGGAGCTAACACGGTCAGTTTGGCAATTGCATGAAACAAGAGACAGCTTGTGTGCTCACAAAGCTGGGCAATCAAGAAAAAACATTTTAAAAATACACAGAGTTTCTAAAGGATGGTAGCTTCTGGTCTACGTGGCCCCTGGGCAGCAGAGTGGTCAGTGTCAGGCATTGGGGACAGCTGCTAGAGGACTGTTAGGGACGACATAGATCAAGCAGCATCTACACTTGCACCGTGTCAACCTCAGTAGATCAACCATGGCTCAATATCATTCAATGAGATGGTTTTTTGAGTCACTGTAATATGGTGCTTACATTGGCTGGAGACAAATTTGAGTCTAGAATTTGAGGTAGACGTATGTACAAATAGGCTGATGTAAGGCAACTTATATTGACCTAACTTTGTAGCATACACCCAGCTTTTGGAGTCTAAACCCCATTTTCAAAAGTGACTTAGATGCTTTTGAAAATGTTAACCAATCTCTATTAGGGTGTGACCACATTATCAGAATGTTTGAGAACTCCTGCACTATAGGTTTTTTTTGTTTGTTTGTTTGTTTTTAATAATTATTTTGTAAATGTTGATGGCACTAACCAAAGAAAGCTTCCTGGTCAGCCCAGACATGTGGAGTTTTCAAACACTGCATAATGCGACAAGTTAAATAGAAAAGCAATAATGCACCCGTAAGTATTGCAACAGTCCTAATGCCATGAGTTAAGATTTAAACTCCTATCCCCCAAAAAAGCTAAAGTACATTAATGCTTTACACCATCTTAGCAACTCACAAACATGAATGGAGTTTATACTTGCAACATCTGTGTTGTAAGGAAATATTAACACCTTCATTTTACAGACAGGAAAATAGGCATAGAGAGATTTAGGGATTTGCCCAGATCACACAGGAAGTGTGTGGCGGAGCAAGGACCTAAATCCAGATCTCATGAACCCCAGTCTAGTGCTTGAATTGCAACACCATCTGTCCTCTCACCTTCTGCTATCAAGATATGAAAGTATCATCCGTATTTTTAATATCCATCTCTCCTTATCTATTCCGCTTAGATTTGTTTGAGTCTTCCAAGAAAACTTTCATAGAAGAATCATAGAAGATTAGGGTTGGAAGGGAGCTCAGGAGGTCATCTAGTCCAACCCCCCCGCTTAAAGCGGGACCAACCCCCAATTTTTGCCCCAGATCCCTAAATGGCCCCCTCAAGGATTGAACTCACAACCCTGGGTTTAGCAGGCCAATGCTCAAACTACTGAGCTATCCCTCCCCCCTAACAGAATGTCACCTGGTTCCATCCAAAAATACAAAGCTTCAGTATAAGTAAGAAGTATAGCTTGCCATGAATAAAACATTAAGTGTGTTTGGGGAAAATAAATTGGCAACTCTGAGCCCAAGTAGCCATCTTGTTGAAGAAATGCCACTTGTGACAACACCTGTGTGACAGACTGCTGAAAGAAACTAAATAAAATTGTCAGACTGCTTTAATGATGTTTCAGCAATCAAAACTTGTTTCTACAAAACATTTCATTTTAAGTTATTTGAAATGTTACAATCTGAAACTTGCTTAGAGTTGTGCTTTTTTGTTCCTAAACTACCAGTGTTGCAAATTAAGTCACTTCAACAAGACAGTCAACCATAAAACATGCTTTATTTATTATGAGAACCATTTCATACCCTTTACAATTTTAGACTGCTGGAGAGAATAAAATGAGGGCAGTTTTCCTTTACATACAAAGATAATATTTACCTAGAAATAACAGTCACAGTTAAAAAATATAAACACTTTTTCAAAGTATTTGCAACTACTGACTTTTCTGAAATTTTCTGTGAAAGGGTAAATACCATGGTTTATGGTACCTGAACTTAAACTTTTGCTTATGGATACTTGAAAAAGATCACTGAAATTTTTTTAAACTGATCTTGGGGTACTGTGGATGCTCATCCTATAGTGTAACAAGATATTACACACCTTTAATATAAATTTTGGAAAGGAACATGAAATAAGATTAACCAAATCAACTCTTACTAAAGAAAGCTGACTTTTAAAGATTCAGGTAGCTTAGAACAATTCAAATACTCAAGGCTCCTCTTACTTACATCTAGTTTCTCTCCCTCTCTGCTTCCTCAAATAACTGTTTAGAGAAAACTGCAACTTACAACAGAAGAATTATATAGCAACACCGGAATTATCAAATCCGATCAGAAAAATCGTCCATCTAGTTGAGCAGACAGTACTGACAGTGTACCAGATGCTTCAAAGGAAGGGCAAGATACCTCATAATGGAATTATCCATCCAGAAAATATTTTAATTCTATAATCCAAACAAACAGGTATAGTATCATGGGTTTATGGTTCAGATCATATATTTTCTCTAAGCCAGAAGAGTCATTAACACTATAAATGCTCACCACATACAAAATTCAAAGTAAACTACTATTAGAAATTTCTGATGGAGAAAGACCTAGGAGAGAACTACCTGTAGTAAGGAGACTGAACTACCTCTTACCCTTATAGAAGGTGGTCCCTCCAAATCAGAGCTCAGGTCAGCAATGGGCCAGTGTAAGAAAGCTCACACTTTGGCTGCCTGCATCGTATCTGACCTGTGAATAAACAGAGGATTTCAGTTTCCAGAACAGCCAGTTCCTTAACCTTCATGCACATTAGAGCTGATGAGAAAATTGAATTTCGGAGTAAACTATTGATTTTTAAATCATTAGCTTCATTTTTTAAGCCTGGGGGCTAGAGTCCCTGCTAGGGAAAACAGCTGGGGTTTTAAAATCTTTGGACCTATGCTTTTTGTTATTATTTTAAACATCTGCATCCTAAATGTAGCAAAGTGTCACAAAAGAATCATCTGAGGGATTCTGAACTTCATACCAAATTAGATGGTAGCAATCATCTATGCTTCACTAAAATACAATGTTATTGTAGAGGGAGCAGTATTGGCTACAGTTGAATGTGCACAACTGTCACCAGCCTAACAAACTGATTGTAGAAGATTTCCTAGCATGGTCTCTGCCCAGAGGTGAATTATTTTGGAAAGTCTGAACAAAATCAGTTGACCCTTTTTGCACAGGTAGGAGGGTAGAAAAGTAATACACATTTTTTCCCATTATAAAAATATACTTGCAACTTTTATTAAAATAAAACACCACACATAAATCCACAGCCAAATTAGCTGTGGATTGAAAGTTGAAATTTGGCATAAAAATATACAGATCTTATTGAAAAGGGGTATCTTCACTTGTTCCAGGGGAAATTAATCATGGTTGTAGAAAAAAGTTGTAAGATACTATATTATTTTAGATATAATGCTCTAATGTAAATAAATATAATATATTTAAATATCATAATAAATAGTGCAAGGGGCCACTGCTAAAGTTGCATGTGAATCTTAATTTGGTGTCTACTGATATTTATTCATTCAACCTTAATGTTCTATTAACACTTTATGGAATTATTTTAAAACAGCCATTTTAAGATGGCATGTTCTGATTTAACTTAGTAGAGGTCAGATCTAACAACAGCATGGAACTGTAGAAGGGAAGTGTAACAAATCACTAGAGGAATAAAGCAGTGACAATGCAGAAACTTGAGTACCAAACATTCTCTGAATGACAGTATGTATCTTTAAGTGGATCCTAAAGTCAAAATTAGGCTGTCGATTAATCAAAATTAACTCAAAAAATTAATTGTGATTAATCGCTATTTTAAACAATAGAATCCCAATTGAAATTTATTAAATATTTTTGGAGGTTTTTCTACATTGTCAATTACAACACAGAATACAAAGTGTACTGTGCTCACTTTATTTTTGATTTTTTTATTTTTGATTACAAATATTTGCACTGTAAAAATGATAAAAAATAGTATTTTTCTATTCACCTCATAGAAGTACTGTAGTGCAATCTCTTTATTGTGAAAGTGCAACTTACACATGTAAATTTGGTTACATAACTGCATTCAAAAACAAAAAGTGTAAAACTTTAGAGCCTACAAATTCACTAGGTCCTACTTCTTGTTCAACCAACTGCTAAGAAAAACAAGTTTGTTTACATTTATGGGAATCAATGCTGCCCGCTTCTTATTTACAATGTCACCTGAAAGTTAGACCAGGCATTCGCATGGCATTTTTGTAGCTGGCATTGCAAGGTATTTACATGCCAGATATGCAAAACATTCGTATGCCCCTTCATGCTTTGGCCACCATTCCAGAGGACATGCTTCCATGCTGATGATACTCATTAAAAAATAATGCATTAATTAAGTGTGCGACTGAACTCCTTGGGGGGGGATTGTATGCCTCCTGCTCTGTTTTACCCGCATTCTGCGATATATTTCATGTTACAGCAGTCTCGGGTGATGACCCAGCACGTGTTGTTCATTTTAAGAACACTCTCACTGCAGATTTGACAAAACGCAACAAAGGTATCAATGTGATATTTCTAAGGATAGATTCAGCACTCAACCCAAGATTTAAGAATCTGAAAGTGCCTTCCAAAATCTGAGAGGGACGAGGCATGGAGCACACTTTCAAATGTCTTAAAAAAGCAACACTCCGATGTGGAAACTACCACTAATTTTTCCTTTTTGGTGATTTGGGTTTTAACCTTCTGCTGGTGACATCCGACTCAGATGATAAAAATGAACATGCATTGGTCCGCACTGTTTTGAATCATTCTCGAACAGAACCCATCATCAGTATGGACGCATGTCCTCTGGAATGGTGGTTGAAGCATGAAGGGACATACGAATCTTTAACGCATCTGGCACGTAAATATCTTGTGACTCTGGCTACAACAGTGCCATGCAAACACCTGTTCTCACTTTCAGGTGACATTGTAAACAAGAAGTGGGCAGCATTATCTCTTGCAAATGTAAACAAACTTGTCTGGCTGAAGTAGGACTTAGTGGACTTGTAGGCTCTAAAGTTTTACATTGTTTTATTTTTGAATGCAGTTTTTTTTGTACATAATTCTACATTTGTAAGTTCAACTTTCGTGATAAATAAATAGATTGCATGACAGTACTTGTAATGGGGGAACTGAAAAATACTTTTTTTTTTTACAGTGCAAATATTTGTAATAAAAAATAAATGTAAAGTGAGCCCTGTACACCATATTCAGTGTTGTAATTAAAATCAATATATTTGCAAATGTAGACAACATGCAAAAATATTTAAATAAAAAGGTATTCTATTATTGTTTAACAGTGCGATTAATTGTGATTTTTTTAAAATCACAAAATTAATCGCAATTAATTTTTTTAATTGCTTGACAGCCCTAATCAAAATGCTTCAAATGAAATATTAATTCTTTAGAAAATTCACTAAAGACCTTAGTACTGTACCTCAAATTGCTCCTCCGAAGAGTTTCTCCCAATGCTCTTTACAATTTGGTTTTCCCTACATTAAGAATGGTAGATCCTGGAATACCTTACAAAGATCTGATATTTGGGGTCCAGATAACATTTCAAAAGAAACAGATTCTCTATTGAAAACTTGTAGGGACGACTAATTTTTTGTTATTAAATTACACTCTGAGTGAAGGACTTCATCATTCCTAGTCCCCTCCAAGTTTTTAATGTGCTTGCACCACTAAGTCATTGAATTAAGACTGAACATTTAAAAAATGCATTCACATTAAAAGGCAAGATAACTCTGCTAGGGAATTATTAGGTCACATCTATACCGTAAATTCTGCAAAGCCAAAAAAAGCTGGGTGTCAAGGTTCCTTCCCCACTCTGAACTCTAGGGTACAGATGTGGAGACCTGCATGAAAGACCCCCTAAGCTTATTCTTACCAGGTTAGGTTAAACACTGCCACCACCAAAGTGTTACACAAAGAACAGGGGAAGTGCCCACTTGGAAATGTCTCCCCTGTACAAAATATCCCCCCAAGCACTACACCCCCTTTCCTAGGGAACGCTTGATAAAAATCCTCACCAATTTGCATAGGTGAACACAGACCCAAACCCTTGGATCTTAAGAACAATGAAAAAGCAATCAGGTTCTTAAAAGAGAATTTTAATTAAAGAAAAAGTAAAAGAATCACCACTATAAAATCAGGATGGTAAATACCTTACAGGGTAATCAGATTCAAAACACAGAGAATCCCTCTAGGCAAAACCTTAAGTTACAAATCCCATGTCCTCAGGTAGAATTGGACAGATAATGGATAAAAGGAAAAGTGGGACAGGGATAGGGCAGAAAGGATAAAGTTTTAGGGGAAAGTGGCAGGGAGCAATTGATAACAGTAATAGTGTCATCCTTTATGGACCAGTATTAGGAAAGGATGGGGGCACGGTCAGTGGATTTCCAGATATTTGCTATCAGCAGAGGAATGAGGAGACTCAGGAATCTGGATTCCATTCCAGGCTCTAGAGGGGAAACATTCTCTAGGGAGCATAGCCTCTTCTGGCTCCTCATCCCCATCCTCTCACCTAGCTCCTCAAGCTTCTCCACCCGCATCCTTCTCTCCAGACACCCCTACAGTTTAAAACCCATTCTCCTTCTCCAGCCATTTCTAGTCCCCACCCACTTGTTCATAGTCTGTTTGCTCAGCCAGTCCCAGTTTCATCCTTTCCTGGCACCTTATCCAATCTGCCTGTCTCCTGTTGCCCCATCAGCTCCCAGTCCCCCACTCCTCATCTGAGTTCAGTCTTTCCCCCCCAACCAATGGCTCCTAGTCCTATTCCCCCACCCATCACTTCCCCACACCAACTCCCAGTCCCAGTCTTCTTGCCCAGCTAGTCCCAGTCTCCTTCACCACTAATTCCCAGTTTCCCTTATCTTTCCCCCACCCCTCTCAGCCTCTAGTCCAAGTCCTCCCCACAATCCTCAGAGGCTCTTTGTCCTGACCAACTCCCATTGCCACCCCCGGTCTGGCTCTTGACCACTCTGCATTTGTATCAGGCAGCTTCCTCTTCCAGATAGTCTTGGTGTCAGCAGGAAGGGACTGAGAGAACAGGAGACTTTCCCTGCTCTCAGTTCAGGTGCTTGGTCCCAGCCCACAGCAACCCAGAGCTACAACTGAATGGAAAAATCTGCTGAGCTCCTGACTTGAGCATGCAGATAGATATTTTAGCTGCAGAGTTCTAGCAAGTCTCTAGGAGCATGTGCAAGCTGCAGTTTTTCAAATTAGGAAAAAATAATGTAATATATTAAGGGACCATTTTTCAATTTTCTTTAATGATATGCACTGTGGACCAAATATTGCCTCTCATTTATGCCCAAGAACAAAAAGCCAAACTCGAGAGGAGAAAATGCAGAGTGGAAGCACTGAATCCCAATCTTAGTTCCCCTATAACCTCAAGAGTTCACATTCAACACATCTTCAAATAATTCCAGCTGTGGTGGGGCTCTTAGCACAAGATATAGGGGTCAACATTACACATTTTACCTAATGACCCCAATTCCTTATGCATCTTTACCAGCTTTGGGCTGGATCCTGCAACTTCTTGGCAGGAAGTTGAGAGTCCATCACAAGTTCAGTTGTTTAGTCACTCTCAGCACAGAATACAGGCGCAAAACAATGTTGCTGTTGTAGCACTACTCTCTAAAAGTACACAACATAGCCCCGTTAAAAAAAATCTTACGATTTCAACAAACTTGGAGGGAAGGGTACTAACTACTGAATCAGCAACACCATTTCTTATAGCAGCTGGGTTTTTCCTTGAAGGACTTCCATCCAGATGTTGATCAGGTCTTTCCCTGCTTAGCCTAAGCCCTGGTCTACACTACAAATTTATGTCAGTGTAACTACATCACCATACCCGCAAGTTATGCAGTTATATAGCCCTAACTCCCAGCATAGACATGCTATATTGACAAGAGGACTTCTCCTATACACATAACTACCACTTCTCAGGGAGGTAGAGCACCTATGCTGAAAGGAGAAGCTCTCCCATCAGCGTAAGTAGTGTCTTCACAAAGTGGTACAGCTCCCCTGCTGCAGCGCTGTAAGTGTAGACAAGCCCTAAGAGTTTGAATAAAATTACAGCTCAAGGATGGCTACAAGCATACCCAGGAGATTTAAACATTCAATCATAACCACAAAAGGTAGACCCTACCCTCAGTCTAGGAGGGCATCAGACTGGTCCAAAAATAATTGCCAATTGACTGAACAAACTCTATTTTAAAGCACTAGTTTATTAGAACAGTAATAAAAACAAAAAGAAAAGAATGGAACCATAGTACAAACAAAAAGGTAAGCTTCTGACCACATCAGGGCATTCTTGTTGGAATATTTGACAATATTAGACAGTGGTCAAATAACAGGTGATTAGCAGACATTATTTGACCAGATAGTTCACTGTCTTGTCACACCTACCTCAGTCATTACTACATCTAACATTTTCAAAGTTGCTACCAAAAGACAGGGACCTAAATAAAAGTGGCTTGAGCTTTGATTGTGCTGAACTCCTACAGACTTTGGTCAGAGCTCAGCTCCTTTGGCACTCAGGCCATTTTTATTAAGGTACCTAAATATGGCCTGAGATGCCTAGAGTTAGGCACCTAAGCCTGACAATTTTAGTCTATGTTCTTTGCTTAACAATGCCAACAAAGGATCTGCAATCAGTTTAAGTCACCACTCACAATACCATTTCCTGAGATCGTCTCCCTAGATGAATCATTCAATTATCATCTTTGGCCTAATTTTTCTGTAACTAGCTAGAGTACCAAACAGAAAAAATGACTTTGTTTGCCTTTGCAATCAAAGTAGAAGATATCACAGCATCAGAGAAGTGGTACAAAAAAAGCTACATTTTAGAAAATTTTGTCGTTCGGTCCACACTCAATTAATTGTCATCAATAGTTTACTTTATGGGATCGGTTATTTAATAGAAATGAATTTCACCATTCTTAGCAAGTTACACAAACTTTTATTTAAGGGGACCAGTTTCCCTCAACCCCATAATTCACTCTGGAAATATATGTCTCAATATTTATAACAAACAATATTTAGCTTTTGTCTATACTCTTTTCTCTATTGTTCCTTTCCAGGACTTAATTTTTAATGACTTGTCTTCACTGCATTGTTAGCTTGAGTTGGTACACTCGAGCTGGCCTAACTCAAGTGAGAGCAGCCATACTGCAAAGGCAAGCTTGAGCCACCTTCCAGTTCTACACTGTTCACACTGTAGAGTACTGATTCAAGTGAAGGCACTTGCCTTCTTGGGACATACTCCTTGGTTCTCAGCACTGCACTATTCTGAGCAGCTCCTTTCAAACTTTCACTGTGTATGTCAGAAAACTGTCTATATTGGTCAAATGGGTGGAAGTAGTGTTCACCCAGCAACCTACTGCAGTACACCACTTCTACTTATGTTTGTTGTCTGCATTCTGGTGGAAAACAATGGATCCCACTCAGAATGATGAGTAGGATCCACGGCTCTTACCCACCCAGCTCCTGGTTCCCCTGCAATCTTGGAGTTGCAGGAAGTGACTGATGTGCTCTGTATCAGTGTTCCTTCATAAGACGGCCTTCTTTGAATTTGCATTTATTGTTATGGTGATGCCAAAATAAAATTGTGTTGTTAAGTACCCATCTCTTTCTAGCGCAAATCAAAACTCGCAGAAACAAAGGGACTGAACAAAGATTATTTATTCAAACTGAATAATACTATCAGTACATCTGCTTTAAGCATTTAACAATGCAACAATGAATAACACTGTCAGTGGAGCCAATTTAACTTTATTACTCCGCAACAGTGCACTATACGATCAGTCCAGCTGCCTTAAGCAGATGTGACATGCACAAGGGGTACAGTGCCATGTCATAGGAACAGGAAGTCTATATAGTCAGGGTACCGGTCATCACCCTGCCATCTCTGCACAGAAGTAGAGTGAAGAGGTTAAACTTACCATGGGCACTTACTTCCATGCACTGAGTAACCCCTGCCATGCAGGGGTCACTGGGAGCAGCTCATGGTGTTATGGTTAAGGCTGCGATTTAGTCACGGAAGTCACAGATTCCGTGACTTCCAAAAACCTCTGTGACTGCAGCCAGCCCCTGAAGGGTTCATGTTTAGTTATTCCACCTGGAAACAGTCAGGGCACACCCTGACTGTTTTGTAGAAGCAATGCACACATTGCTCTATTCAAGGACAAGGACTAGATATGAACCATGAGAAGTTGATTAAAGGACAGTAACCGTGGGAAGCTTTCTTAGCCTGGGCTCAAGGTCTGAGAACCAGGATTGTAGTAGATAAAATTTGGTAAACAAGTATATTAATCAACGTCATACATTCCTTTGTGTGTCTTTTTGCGGTAGAAGTATGTAATGCATAGGGGGGAGAAATATAATGAAGGTGGAAACCTGGGGGAAGCAGCCCATTTCAGCTGACCAGCCTGCTTGCTTGCATAAAGCTGTGTTCTGTCTCATCATTGAACCGCCACAAACCCCGACTGGGAGCTGCAAGGTTGGTTCCCTGCCGCCGCCACCACCAGGCAGACCCTCCACAGGTTCCGGCTGTCGTGAGTGGCATCCCCGCAGCTCACAGGCAGAACCTCCGGAGTTCGGAGCCGCCAGCAGAGGGGACCCTGGAGCTCCCAGCCCAACCACAGCTTCCCAGGCTCACGTTATCATGGATATTTTTAGTAAAAAAGTCAGGGACAGGCTTCCATGAATTTTTCATTATTGCCTGTGACCTGTCCGTGACTTTTACTAAAAATATCAGTGACAAAATCTTCGCCTTAATTATGGTTCATGGCTGCAAGATTAGGCTGGAGATGAACCTGGGCAAATGCAGTGGCCAGGCTGCTCTGGCACTTACTGACCATAATGCCTAGAAGGCATACAATCATTTGGTGTGGGTTCTCCTTGTGTTTCTGCTAGCAGTCTGGCTTGCACATGGCACATTATGGGCAACTTACTCTGCCACCATGCATTTCTCCCTCTCCAACATCATCTTAGCTGCAATCTGGAATTGCTGTTCCTCCTCCAGCATCTCCCTTTGAAGCTCAAAGAGCAGGTCAGACCTTCTGCCCAAGTCCCTCAAAAGGTCCTCCTGTGTTCTCTACCTTCTGCTTCTAGACTCTGGTGCTGATAGTCATTGGCCTTCTGGGAGGGTGGCTGGACTGCACTTATGCAAATGAGCTGTAAAGCAAAGAAACAGTACATAGCTTTACTGTGTAGGGTAAAAAAGGAAGAGAATCTCCCCTTTATCTTTCTTTGTCACATCAAGATATTAATTGAGGAGAGTGAAATGAAAAACTCTTCACTTTGCAGCTGCTAAATTCCAGAGTTCTTGAAATGGCAGTTTGTTCCTCTACATTCCCTGCTGTGCTGGATGGACATTACTGGATGCCAGGTTCTAGGGGTGGAGGGGTAGGGAAGGAGATCATGGTTTCCTATGCCCAGCAAGAAACGCTGAGGCAGCATTACCTAAAATCTACCCTCTGGATGTCGGGGATGGTGAAGGTAATGATGGTTCCCACACCCCAAAGGGACACTACAGATGGCATCTCTTAAAGGCCGCCCTCCACCACATAACATACCCTTGTGTGGATTGGTTCTACAAAGGTAATAACAGGTCCCTTATGTCATATCTGCCCCTCCTCCCCCCAACCATAACAACTGTCATTCAAGACCTTACCCGGCTGAAGTAATGCTGTTTCAGCTGCTGCTTTCTGCATCTTCTCCCCAGAGTCTTGGTCAAGGATGGAGTGACTGTGGCCCCTAGCATTGGTTCTGCCTCACGCGAGAACTCCACGTCCAGAAACAGGCCCAGTTCTGGGTCCTCCTCAGGATCCTCCATGATCAATCACTCATGAACTTCTCAAGAGGCCTTTGAGCTGCCTAGGTACAGAGCTGCATGCTGGCGATCACCCAGTCAAACTGTAGTCAAGTGAGCTTGCCAGGGTTTCACTTAGTCATTTCCCAGCAGTACAGTGTCTTCAGGGTTTTAATAGCTGAGCTAGAACAAATGCTACAGGTGCAAAGGGCCACATGGAAGACAGGGTCCAAAGTATCAAACTGAGTATTAATACACGGTAGATAATGTCCAATCAAGATACGAGGGGGACCAGACAACAATTAACCTGGGTGGAAGTTTCAGGAAGGCATGGGGGTAGACCTCATGATACTTGAATGGACTGGACTGTAAGCAAAGTCCTGATTGCATTACTATGCAAACTTCACCTGCACTCAAGCTTCAACCCATCCATCCCAACAAGCCACCGGCATCTACCTCAGGCTTAATGCACCACTTACTTTACCTAGAGAGGTTTGTGTGCAGACCTGAGGCAGGTAAGGGACAACATTCAAGTTATTCTTCAAGATAACAATGCAGTGAAGACAAGCCCCTTGTTTTGTTTTTAAATTAGAACTTCAGCAATATTAACATAAGTCAACTAGATATCTACATACAATTGAAATGTAATGTGTACTGATGTCAATAGGACTAATCAGCTGAGTAACTGCTCACCAGTGTAAAGCTATCTATACACTGTGAGCTTCTTCAGGGTACAGTCCAGGGCAATTCTATTCAGTATCTGGGTTCTACAGAATACACAATAGCAATAGTACATATCTGCCTAAGACTGGATTTCAGTTACTCCCTTTAAACTCTATTGCCCAGGTTGGCCAGGAAAAAAAAAAAAATCCAACTTATTTCTAAGCGCCACCACTTCCAAACACACACATAGCACAACACAAGAAGCCTGGTTAGTAGGAGCTGTTCAACATGCACTTTGGACTTAATGTCACTCTCACTTTAGTTTTGCGGTTCATCTTCAATTTAGTCCTTCACTTTAGATATATTTTCATTTTAGGATGACTGATTTTAACAGACCGAATGTCCTCCATGGCAGGGCATCTGTATGAAACAGCTGTTCACACAACTCTGGGATCAATATGGCTTGCAAACTTTTTTTGGACAAGCAACTTTAGGCAGGATGCCAGAGCAATTTATAGCAATTAGACAAAGGAGATGAAGGATTCTCTTCGGAAGGTCTGCCGTTGCAGAGCAGCAAGTCCGTAGATAACAGGATGCTGGGAGCAGTGTTTGGCTGGAAAGAAAGGTACTCTTGTTCTACCACAGGAAGACCCTTTATTTCCTTGGATTTTTTTTAAGAGTGAATCTTTTGCTGCTTTGCAATTAGTTTAGTTACCCTGCTCTTGATGTAATCTTTTATAATACCTACAGGAAAAAGTGGCTACGAATGATTTCATCAGATCCTTAGAACCTAAGGCAATCCCAAAAAACTGCCTTCTTGAAGCCTGTTACAGATTTCTTTACTGCAAAACTCCCCTAGACAGAGAAGTTCTATATATCGTGTTTCTGAATTATATTTATTGACAATTCTTGCAAGGCATATTTAACATGTTTTCCTCAGTATTTTCCCCACACAAACTGTGAAAGTAAGACTGGCACAACTGACCAGAAATTACAGCAAGTGAAAGCTAAAGAAAACCTCTTTGTCTTACTTTTCTAAATAAAACTTAACCTGGTAAACAGCAACAGGATTTTTTCTTTTGTTTTGTTTGCTTAAAGGTTTTAACATAATGGCTGATCAACTGTAGAACAGAAACAGAACGAAGCCAGAATATAATTTTAGAAAATCTGGAGTGACTGAGGGAAAAAGAAGAACGTAGGTTTTATGGAAAGTTTAATATATTCACTGTGTAGATGATTATTCATACAGATATATTTCATATGGACATGTGGCAATATCCTAGAAAACTCTGAACAATCATTAAATGATTAGGACTCTGGGAGTGCAAGAATTTTGAGATGAGCCAGAAAGGAAGAGCCAGCAAATACTGGCTCTTTCCTCCACGCTACATTCTCACCAATCCTCTTGGTCTTGGACATGAGCCAGGGAACACAGGCATGAAGGAAGAAGCTTGACACACCTAAAAAGGCATATACACAAACATCTTGCTATCACTTTTACATTCTACTAAAATGTGTGCTGCATGGTAATTATACAGTCATCCCCTGGGATGCATATCTGGTAAAACCACTTCTGGCAAAATTCAAAGCTGGATGCATTCCAGAGGACATGGGTAATAGCAAACTGAAAGATATCAGGACGAATTATTAGCCAGTTTTTCTGTAACTACTTAAAAACTTCTTATAGCAGAATATAAAGTAACATGTATCCCTTTGGTTAATTCTACAAAGTGTTTTACTACCATATTATATAATCTTGTTTAAATAAACTACATAGAACACAGGTCTCAGTTCTGTACTGCAGGTTCCAGCTAATGTTTACTATGCTTCCAGCTCATTAATATTGTCATTTGACCACATTAGGAATTTCCTTTTGTTATCTGCTCATTTCTATTTTAAATTATTTATAAAGACGCAGTATGTTTCACCCAGGTTGGTGTGAACACATAACATTTGGTGTTTGTGAATAATGGAGAATTGCAATTGACAAGGCATGGATGCATTCACGCTTTCTCTAAAAATGGTAAACATATACATTAGACTCTATGATGATGAATGTCTTGATCTATTTATATCTTAAATAATCAGCAATTTGAGGAACAAGTGCGAGATGGACATTGTACTACAGTAAAAGATAAGATAGAAAAACAGAATGTTCTCTCATAAGTAAAGAAGATCGAAAATAAATCAAGGATTAAAAACTGAGGGAAATCAGATTACTGTAATCTGCTACCAGTGACTTTTCTGATTGCTTGCACTTGAGATCTTTTAAGACAACAGGCAAATTTTTGCCTCACAATATTATTTAAGCCAGTAGGACTGCACATGATATGACTAAAAAATTCAGCACAGTATTTCTCTTGGTAGCGGATACATTTCCAAGCGTGAAAAGCTCTTCTCTACACTACTGTTGCCACACATGAATCTACTAGTTTGTCAATCACAATACAGTTATTCTAGTTAAAAGATTTGCACGTAAACTGGCTGCTCTTAGGAACAACCTAGATCAGCATTCCCCCAAATTTTTGAAAGCTAAGCCCCCTTCCCTTCAAAATAAAGGGAATCAGACACACCCATGCGTGTTTGATGAGCAGTGAAATAGTTAACAGTGTTAACATTTAAATTATTTACTGAGATAGCATCCATTGAAATGAACGGGGCACTTCATACTTCAGAGCCATTGTTTCAGGCTTCCTTCAGACTCAGGCAGACATTGCTTCAGATACATAGTGCGTGTAACACACAGGTCAAGTTTTTCTTTACAACCATAACAACTACAGACTTGTTCTTTTTTAAAAAACGAGTAGGAGACTTGAAACCTTTCAGCTCTCTAGAGCCTCAGATTTGTCAGTGCCATTTTGGCTAGTTATTTGTGCCTCCCCAGGGGAGATATACCCACACTTCGGGAGATACTGTTTTTGACTGTTAGTAAGGAGGATGAAAAAAATAAATAAATCGGTGAGACAGACTCTCTTCTGAAGCCAAATTCCAAAAGGGGAGCAACAAACACGACAGTTCTGGGTCCCAGATTCTGAGGGCTGGTCTATACTGTCCCAACACCAGTGTAAATTACAGCAGGCCAGGGCTGCTCTATAATCTCTAAAGGAATAAATGCTAGTGGAGAAGCACTATAGAGCCACACTTGATCCCCCAGTACCTCTGCAGGCAGGGGCAGCAAGTTGTATGGGCCCGTGGTGCCCGGGCTCCAGAAAATTCAGAGCCTGGGGGCCCAGCTCCACCAGTGTTTGGGGCCCGGTCTCTCCCCTGGCACCGCCTGCTGACCCCGCATGACTCCCCCAGAGCGTTCCCCGGCCCTGCCTGCTTCCCCTGCGCACCCCCTCCCCAAAGCAGCCCTGCCTGCCCTGGGCAGTGGGTGGCTGCCCCCTGCAGCTCCATGCTGTGCTCCCTCACCAGCCGTGGCCGGCTACAAGGGAGCGGCATTGGGGGCAAGATGAGGCAGCTGCTGTGCCTGCAGAGGGAGGAGGCACATGGCAGCACCCCCCCAGGCAGGTGACTCTGAGTCAACTCCAAGGAGGAGGGGGGGCTTATTCTGGCGGGACCTCCTGAGCAACACCCTGGGGGGGCTTGGGTGAGTGTCAGGGAGGGGTGCCCCCCCAAAGCTCGCTGTTGCCAACAGAGAGAGGGCTGGGCTGTGGGGAGTCCTCCTCTCTGGCCCCCAAACCCAGCCCTAGGACAGCCTGCCTGTTGCACCCCAAACTCATCCCCCAACCCAGCCCCATGCCCCGCAACCCCCCGTCCCAGCCCAGAGCCCACACCCAAACTCCTTCCAAGCCCACACCTCTCCTGTACCCAAACTCTCTCCCAGAGCCTGCACCCCAAACCCCCTCCTGTACCCAAACTCCCTCCCACAGCCCACACCCCCCCCGCACCCCAACCCCCTGCCACAGCCCAGAGCCTGCAACCAGCACCCAAACTCCATCTCAGAACCTGAACCCCTCCCACACCCAAACTTCCTCCCAGAGCCTGCACTCCAAACCCCCTCCCGCACCCAAACTCCCTCCCAGAGTCTTAGGCAGTGGAGGACTTGGACCCATTCTGGGCACCACCAAAAATTATACAAACCTGCCGCCCCTGATGCCAGGGTTGGGAGGGGCCTGCTCCGATGACTTTACAGCAGCCGAGAGATCAACCCACTCCATCCTCCTTGGCCAGGGGTATTATCAATCAGCCAGCTATAGCCAGATTTGAGCCTCTTTGTACAGCCCGAGGCGCACACAATGGCCAGATAAGAATAGAAAATTTGGCCTAATGTCTATCTGGTTTACACATTAAACAAGAGTAAAGTGTTTTGACTTGCATCCTCATTTTTACCAACCTTTGGGGGCGCAAACTTGCTACAGGAGCTAGATGTTAATCAATTCCATTTACATAATTTTTTAAGAAGGTGGTACAAGAACCAATGAAGTTGGGAACCACTAAACTAGGCAACAGCTTTCTCTCTTTACAATAATATTCCCTTTCGGTCCTCCACTGCTATGTAGTATTGCTGTGTGTTGTTTAGAATCTTCCACTCTCCATCCCAGACATAGCTACATGTCAATAACGGGTTAAATGAACCCTTTATATAAAGTCTGGTGAGCCCTTTGGGATCTTTAGAAGGAAGAGCTATACAGTGTGGGAACACCACCACACAACGACAAGTAGAGCCAACATATTGACAGCCACCTGCCAATTCTACACATGCATCGAGTGGCAGAAAGCACATATCATAGCCTTTTTGAGTGTGAATTTATTTTGCTATCTCATTAACCCTCTCAAAACAGAACCATAAAAGGGTCTTTCAGAGGCATCAGTCCAAAGTCAGAATGGCTACTACTTTTCCTTCTTTCCCCAGCAAATATAATAGGAAACCAAAAGAAAAAAAATTGTTCCAGGGAAGTTCTATCAATGTTCTGACTCATGTTTTCTGTATATTTCAGAATTACGTCTCAGGAAAAGGTGGTTTCAAAAGCCAACGTCTTCCCATCCCAAGTCCAGTGAGGGGTGAGTGGAGGAAAAGCAGAGATTTGATGGTGGTTAGATTGAGTTATATTAGGGTAGAGGAGGCAACTAGTTTGGAGGGTACTAGCTAGGAAGCCTGTACAAGTGTCTGATTTTATTTTTTAAATGTGTTTTACAGCACGTACTTCAACAGATAAAGTTCTTAAAAGCAGGTAACTAAATAAATAGTTTAAGGATAACCCTTCCCATTTTAAATGCAAATGTTATTGACAATATTGCAGCTCAAACAACAGCAGCATTACAGAAGTCAATACTATCCCCTCCACTCCAAATACCCCCTATAAAGGTCTAGAGAAAGGCAATGCAAATGACAACAGACCTGAAAATACTTTAGTACAAGGAGATGAAGATGGTGGTTTAGGACTACTAAGTTTAAGAATGAGGAAAGAGGTGATGTAGTAAGTGAATAATAGTACAGAGAAGATTAATCAAGTGCTCCATGTACCCTCTCTCAAAACAGAAAAAGCAATGGACACCCACTGAAATGAAAATGCAAATATGAAGTAGATACAAGGAATTTCCTCCCCATATGCCTGAAGACATTCCTACACTAAGCTCATAGTCTGTGGATTTCAATATGAGACTCCATGTCACAAGGTATTCTTAAGGCAAAGAGAATTTTCTACCAAAAGATCTTATTTTGTTTTACAAAGATTGTTATTATTACCCTAATTTTACAGATGGGGGAAAGTGTATGCACAGACAATGTATGTAATATATATTCATAGCATACATTAATGCTGCCTACACTACATACACAGGTACACACACACACAAGGACATGCATGTGCACACATGCAGGGTGAAGCATCTGTTGTATATACAAGATATAGTTCTTCCCAAAAACAAAATATAGATCCCTTTAAAACGGTTTCCTTTTAGGGCAGGTGTCTCAAAAATGAACCATCTTGCTGCCCATATAAATAATTACATTTAATCTAAACTGTTACTGAATCCTGTCATTTTCTTCTCAATGGAATGGATGTCTGTAGAGTTAAAAAAAGATTTAACATGAATACAGTGGTGGCTCAAAGCCATTGGCAATATGATGGGTGTAGCTAGCCATTTGAATGGCACTTTGGAACTTGTTACACACATTAGTCCACATGCCAGCCTCTTTCTCTGGTTTCTGATAATCTCTGTAAACAGAGATGACTTTACACATCAACACTGCAGTGCTAAAGAGAGTTGGTTAAGGTGGTTGATAGAGTTCATTAGAGACCGATGACAGTGTTAGGAGGCCTGATGAAGAACCAGTGAGACCAGCCATCAACATACACGATCCCCAAAAGTAAATACAGAGAGAGAGAGAAAACGCGCGCATGGTGTGGGCTAATACACCTGCATTAACCCGTGACAGGCACATGACACTAGTGCTGATACTTCAGTTTAGCGGCTGGTATTTTAGGTTCCCATTTTAGATCTTACTAATGAAGTCTCGCTGCCAGGTCCAGTACCGGTCTTCCCCCCCCGACGTCTAACTTGCCAAACGGCCGAGGCTGCTCCGCATCCCACTCCTGGAAGCTGCCCAAGCCCCGCGGCCAGCTGGAGCGCGCCCCGCCGAAGGAGCCAGAGCAGCGGGCTGGCGCCGCCCCGCTCAGCCTGACACGAGCGGGTAGCTGCGCCCACGCCAGGCCGGCCGGGGATTGCCCGCACCTCTGTGCCGCGCTCAGACGGCAAAGGCAAGAGGGGCCGCGAGGGCAGCGCCCCTGCGCAGCGAGCCGAGGGGGAGCCGGGCCGGACCCACCAAAGCTTCTGGGGGCATGGCACGTCCCTCCCGCTAGTCTCGGCTGAGGTGCCCCGTAAGTGTGCGCGGCCTTCCCCCGGCGCCCGCCCCGCACATCGCCCCCGGCCTCGCCCCACAGGCCAGCCGCGACCCTGCGCCGGGGGGGCGGCACGCTGCCGGCCTACCTGAGCGTAGAAGGGTTTCCTGAGCCAGGCCCCCGGGAAGACCCTCCTCGCCATGGCAATGGCACATCCCCGCAGCGGGCTGCGCTCGGAGGCGGAGCGGAGGCAGCGCTTCCCCGCCCGGCCCCCTCCGCTCGCACCGCGGCGCCGGGAGAACGGGCTGGGGCGGGGGCCGCTGC